CCCCACACCCACCCTCCCCCACATACCCACACACCCACAGCCCCCCACAAACCTATACATACCCTCCACAATATACAAGAGCAAGACTTAATTTTAAGCTATTTTGCAATCACCTCTGTGTACACTACACAAACACATGTAAATCAGGATAAAAATATTTTCTGAAATCAAATTAATGAGTGCTGTAGATGTTTGCTTATTAGAATATACTTTGGTATTTTTCTAGTTCCAAGATGGCAAAACCCCTTGCTGAAAGGAGTACTTCTGAGGGAAGGGGAGGGACTTCTGGTGGCAAAAGTCAGGGGTTGGGGGTAGGACTTCCAGTCACAAGATGGCTACCAGGGGGTGAGGCACCTGTCAAGGGGTGCGGCTACCCGTGTGGCCCCCGACAGTTTGCCAAAACTCAGTAAGTGCCCCCCCTCCAAAATAATTACCCACCCCTGTTCTAAAGCCATTGGGTGTTTATAGACATGCTCCAGGCAGTTGGGGGGAGGCACTTTAATTAGCAGACCACGCTAATTAAAGTGCCCAAGTGTCATGTGTATCAGCATCCCCACGCTGAAAAATGGTGGTAGGCTGCTTTGAACTAAAGCTCATTGAAGGAGCTTTAAAGTGCCCCGTCACCATTTTTCAGCACGTGGACACTGATACGTGTGATGCTGAAGGCTGCTGGAGCATGTTAATTTCTGCGCTCCAGTAGATTAATCGAGTCTGCTCCAACGTGTTGGATTTACAGCATGTTAGAGCAGCCTCACTGCATATCTATAGGAGCCCACTATGTTTGGCTTTCCTATCCTGGGAGCCACACGCAACTTGCACATTGTATCTGACCAGCAACATCCCAACAATTCCAGTCCTATTTCAAGGTCCAGGCCACTTACAGTTCTGCTATTTCTCCTCAGTCTTTTCCTGCAGTAATGCCTGCTGCTGATTTTAGCCCTTGGCCCTTACATAGTTGTGCATCTGCAATACTACTATCACTCCAGTGTGTCTCCTTCTCATAGAGCACTAATGCATCTCATTATCTCAGATTCAACCTGAATACCTGCTTTCCAAATCCTGTATTTTCACATATGCACCTGAAATACACCTTAAGTCTTGATCTGCAGAATTCCTTGCCATGCTTTTCTTAGCCACCCATATGCTTCTACCAGTGTAACCATGATATCTATTACCCCCTTGTATTAATGTCTTATGACTCCTTCCTAAGCACAAGCTGTCAGTTGTGTCATTGTACAGGTTTGCACACTGGATGTCCTTAGGGGCTAAATGGTGAAAGTTTTGAAGCAGGGAAAATGTCAAGATAAAGCGCGTGGCATATTCAAAAATCATTTCCAAGTGAATCCGTTTTAGATTCTCCTTCTCCCTTCTCTATCTTTATATGTAAGAAATTAATAACGCAGGAAATTGTCCTAGTAATAACCAGCACAAATATTTTTCTGCCCTTCACTGTCATAGATGTACCTGTGACTTGGGTTTTGCGTCAGCCTGAGTTGGACTTACAAGGCCCAGAGGAATGGCACATCTGTCCAATGGACAGAAAAAGCAGCTGGTGTTCATGGTGACTCCCTCTTCATTTCATGCATTAGTTTTCTTCCAATTAATTGAGGACAGCAGGGAGGAAACCCAACCATCCCATGGGTAAATTACAATGCAAAATGCTGATGAATACAATATCAAACACATCTCAGGCCAGATCTACAAAGGTATTTAAATACTAAGCTCCTTCTGGGGTGCTTAAACACACACTGATAGTAAAAGAGACTCTCATACACCTAAAGATTTCAGATCTTACCTGGTTTCTCTTTTTTGCCAGCCTCAGTAGTACTCACGGCTACTAGAACAAAAATGAATGCCAAGAGGGCAGCTGTGACCATTCGACGTTGTTGTTGCTGCTGCATTCTGGGAAATAGAGAAAAAGAAGTATGATCAGGTTTTCAGGATTAGACTGCTTGGGAAAAGAACCCTAATTAAACAAAGCAAAAGCACAGGACACGATCTAATGGGACTGTTACGGAAATGCAGTGAGATCAGACAATAGGAACAAAAACAGAGAGAACATAAGATTTGACTTGGCAGAGCAATTATAGAAGATCCGGGTTTAAAAACTTCTTTCCCAATGAAGTAACTCATTGATCATTTTCATCCTAATCCACTGCAATCCTGATGTTGCACTTTTGTTCTGCCATAGATAGGATAGTTATTGTACCATTACTGCGCACTGGGCAGAAACTTGGGAGAGACTGCAGTCTACTGATTAAAGTATGGCACTCGAAGTCAAAATGCTTGCCTTCTATTTTCAGGTCTGTCTGTGACTCATCATGCAAGACTGAGCAAATCACATATCACGTCTCGGTCTACTCATTGGTAGGAAGTGGGCAATGTTACTTATCTATACAACCAGGATTAAAGCTGGTGTTAAGTTTAATAGATATTTGCAAGTGCTCCTTTAGAAACGTGTTATATAGGCAAAAAATAAAATCAACTGAGTCATCACTGACCTTACATCATTAGAGCGCCCTCTTCAGACACTTTCCCTTCCTCTCAAATTTCCTAAGATTCTTGGTGAACATACAACATTTTAAACACAACCAGAAAAGATCTGCACCCTCAGGTAGTGACTATCACTAGGCATGCTCAGTGAGGCATATAACTGATGAACCTAAGATCTGAGTGTAGGCCCCATAATTCAAATACAGGAGAAGTAAAAACACATTTGCACAGAGATTAAATGATAGTTCCTGGCCTGGAAAATGAAACACCATAGAGCACCTAGACCCTGTTTGTAGGTCTGATCTTCCAAATGCAAAATTTCCATGAAACTTTTCTGGGTAAGAGATATTTTATCTGGCCTGTCTCTACTTTGTGCTGCTGCAATTTAGGCATTTGCTACCTGTGAATTTGAAAAGTTCCAGCCACAAAGACAGAAATAAAATGCAACTGAGTTTATAATACAAAGAAGCTAAAGGAAATCTGAGCTAATTTTTGCTAAACCAACCCAGCACTCTAGAGAAAAAGTAATTCTTAGCATGAACAAAGACTGAAAAGTATCTGCAATTTTATTTGGCACTTAAGAGTGTCCCCTGCTGATACTTTTTTGGGAAAAAAACTCCATAACTGCTACTGACATGGACAACAGGAGGGAAATCCCAACATCAGAAACTATAAAACATCAAGGTTTAATATTGCCAGTGAAGCTAGATGAAACATTTGAATTGTTACCTGTTTAAATAATGTTAACTTGGAGACTATAAGTAGGGACCTATCTAAATCATTGTTTTGTGGATTTCACAGAAACTGTGAAATCTGGGATGGGGTTGCCCACAAAATCCATGAAAAATAAAATAAAAATAAGTTTTTATTAAGTCTTCTCCTCCCTAGTGGGCCTCACATCCCACCCAGAGGAGGAAGGCGCCAGCCGGCGGGGCAGCACAAAGCGGGAAACAGACAGCCCATGACATGGGCTCTTTTTGCAGAGAGAAAGCCAAGAAAATGACTTTGTCTCATCGCAAGTTAAGTAGGTCCCTAACTATAAGATCTGGGATTGACATGTGCTTAGTTTACCTCAATAGAAAATTCAAGTTCCTATCATCAGAAGTACCTTCAGGGGTCTCTGGACTCATGGGGCACATCTCCACAAGCTGGAACATGCATTTCCCCAGGGACAAACAGCAGCGGCACTACCACTGCACTGCTACTGCTATGTGCTGCTGCTACTCATCCCACTGGAATGCCCATGCATGTGTGCTCTGGCACACAACACATTACCCCAGGTGGGATAAGGGAGGCTGGCCCCAGCAGCCTTACCCGGGGTCCTGGGGGCCTTTGGGGGCTGCAGCTGAGGCTACCTGGCAGCAGGGAGCCTGGCCAGCAGCCTGAGATGTGTCCAGCCGGCCAGGCTCCAGTTTTGAGCAGCTCATGCTGCTACCACATGTGCCGCCCCACTTTTTTTAGGTGCGGGCGTTTTTGACACCAGGATTTCCTGGTGTTAAAAAAAAAAAAAAAATGCCGCACTGCTGAACACTTGCATGTGCGGCCTGCACCGCTGCAGACAGGTCTGCAGCACCACATACTGCACATTCCTGCTCATCTGGACATGCGCATGCAGAAGAAAACTCCCACCCAGGACAAGGGTGTTTTCTAAAATGTCTCCGTTCTGCATGTCACACAGTGTCTGGAGGCAAAACACCTGCCTTTCTAGCCAGGTTATATTCTGATCTGGTTCATCATAACTAGACACCATCTTATCCTCTGTCCCCTTGCAGACCATCCTACCTGACAGTCTCACCGCTGTTCATGTGGTAGCCTTCTCCTTTGTACTTCCTGTCCTCTGGAACAGGCTCCCTCTCATGTATCACCTCACCTCAGTGAATTTTCATCCCATCTCAAAATTTCACTTCAAAGATGTTTTCCGTCTTGCAATTCAACCTATTTCCTCTCTCTACTATTAACTATATCTGGCAAAAAAGGCCGAACTGCTCTAATAGGTGATCATGGGAATCATCTCAGCACTGGTGCATCCTTAAGTAGCACAGAGATGAATATGCCACTTAGGATGACCAATCAGGTACACCTGAATCCAGTTCAGTGATCACCAGTTGCCACAATGGCTCTGTTGGGTATTAACAACTGGTGCAAGCTTATACCTGGGGGCTTAATCGGGACAAAGTAAAACCAGAATATGGAAGCTCTGAAATGACTTAAAGCTACTTTCTGAATAGCTTTTAACTCCCTGTCAAAGTGGAACCAAGTGTTCCTCAGTTACAGCTGAGGACTGGGGCAAGTGTCTCTGAAAAGTTTGGAATACAATGTGCACAAAAATGCTATAAAACAGTTCTATCATATTGAGTACAAAGCAGGTCCAAATGCAAATCTTATTTTCCCAAGTACCAAGTCAGGGTAAAATGCATATGTTTGGAGTATGAAATGCTTCCAAACTTCTGTGAGCTGAAATCCTATGGAGACTTGATCCAGAATTTACAGCTGACACCAAAAATCTGCCAATGCAAAACTGTAGCAGCACTGTAGGTTTACCAAGCTGTCTAAAGCAATGCCTAAGCCATAGTGTATGCCTCTCTCTATAGCAAAATCAGGTCATCTGGTAACTGCAGGTGTGGATCCACATGCAAGGGCAGGGAGTTGTACGCCCCCTCCCTCCACTGATTCCTGCTCTACCCAAAATTTAAAACCAACTGCAGCAGTATTTCTATTCAGGCAGCAGTGAGGGAGTCCACTGATTTCATGATTCATTAAAATCTGCCTGATTCTTCCTAAACTCTTAATTCCACAGGTGTTAATGGTTCTTTTTTTTTAATGGTCTTGATGTTCCACTACTCAAGCAAACCTTTCTTGTGTAATTCTGCTGTCTGTTAGCTAGCTATCCCACTCTGATAATGTAGCTCCTATTCCACAGCCTCACAGACTATTGTTAACTCACTCCAATAAAGTTATATTTATTTTTGCATTAATTTTAAACTGAATAATACAGCCTTAGGCCCCCAGCATATTAGTAAAGTTTCTACTTTCTTTTCACCTGGAGAAAAAGTGTGTTGCGTTATACGTGATGATGTAGCTCACCATCTGCACCCCGTTTTCCAAATCCTAAATCTACCCATGCATACCTGAGGTTATTTTTTACTAAAATGCAACAAACAAAGTTATGTCCTACAATGCAGAAGGCTTTTCATTGCGTCTCACAAATATCAACTTCAGCTACAAATTTACAGAAATGCCTTTGTATTCTATAGACTGGCAAGGGCAGGGGCTACCAGCAGACTGCAGACATTGTGCTACACTCTGGCACAGAAGTTTCTCAAGAAGGTAGGAAAACACAGAACAGACAGCAATCATTGAAGTCAAAAGCACATGGGCTAATTCCTGCAGTTTTCCTTGTAAATATTTAATTTCTTTACCAAAAAAATAAACGAGCAAATAAGGGGACATAGAGGGGTTTTTTTGAAAATGGCACAATTCATTTATAATTGCTTCATTTTTCAAAAACTTCCCATTTTGCAAATCTTTTGTCTTTTTCACTTCACACCATTGTAAAAACATTTCCAATAAAATCTTGGATTAAAATTATTGTCAAAAATGGTATCAATTCAAAATGAAATGAAATTTGAAAATTAGTCTGCTTCAAGTCTTGCAATAGGGAACAACTTCAATATTTTGGATTTTTTCCATAAGTCTTTTATTACCTTTTAATTTCTACGAACTTGAGGAAATAGGGTTAAGTGGCGAAACAGTAAAGCTCTTACAAAGTTGATGCAAGGGTTGATACAAGGGCAGTTTCAGCGCCACCTAAATGACTGGCAATGACATGCACAATCCATGGGCAAAAAGGGAAAGCTGAAGATAAAAGGGAAGGAACTGAAAGACTTTGGAAAAGGGCAGTTTTAAGAAGGAAAAAAAGCAGCAATGAACGCATGAAAGAAACAGATAAAAGAGAGGATAGATAGAACAGTTTCAAGTGTGAGTTGGACTGAGATTGATAAAGAAAGAACATAAGAGGAAAAAAGTCACAGCACTGCTAAAATGAAGAAGAAATTAAATAAAAATGAGAAGAGAGAGAAACAGTAAATGAAAGTGAAACAGAGAGAGAACACAGGGAAAATATGAAATGACCAGCAAGATTAAATGCAGCTATGGTGAAGTGCACTAGAGCAAGTGGCTTCGCCCAAAGAAGATGAGGTACAGGAATTACTGCAATCTAACGGGTCATTTCATTATCGATTTTCTCTCTGATGGGGAGAGAAAAATAAAAGGAAAATAAAAAAGTGGGAGGCAATGAGACAATAGATCTAATCTCATGAGTTCACTTGTATGACAGATACTAGAAAGAGAACTTCCCAGGCAGAAATTGTGCCATGTCAACAGTTCCTAAAGGACCTTCTGGGTGCAGCTCAGTCTAACTCACCTCCTTTATCATCTTGCAATAGTCCCCAGCCCAGTCTTCCATCACTTTCTTCACCATATCACTCTTTCCCCCTGTGCGGGGCACAGCCTAGAGCACTTCAGAGGAATCTAATTCCCTGCAGTGCTCCATGTCAAAGAATCAGGTTACTTGGAGGGAGGATTTGCAGCTTTGTGTCAGACACAGTCAGCTTGGGCTAAGTAAAAGTAAGGATATCTTGTGGAGGGATGGTTTACTCTGAAAAGACAGAGCCAAATAGATGGACACAAGAGCTCTTAAAGGCCATATGAGATATGAAAGGACTGAAGGAGAAACCTTGGGAAGCATGGAGGTATGTTGCTTGGCCCAAAACGGAACAAACAGACCCCATTACTTCTGCCAGAAAATGCTCTTCTCATTTACAGGGCCAGACACAGTTTCTCTTCCCTCTCCTGTGATGTGGTAGGCACAGATCTACTTCTGCTCACAGCTGGCAGCAGAGATGTCTCTGCAGCTTCAGGGGAGGTGGTGCAAGGCAGATGCCTTAACACCTGGGCTGAGTCAAATACTTTGGCTTAAAAGTCACAGGGTGCAGCTAAAACAGCATACTTACAATCAAAAATCACATTTATTTCATAATGTGGTCATCAACAAAGACAACAAACCAGAGCCCTGAGGCCAGCAAGTTGGATATAAAATTGAGCAAGGAAATGGAGAGCTATGTGAAAAGGGGAGCATATTAAAAATGATTCAAATGAAAAAAAAATAAAGAGAAAATTTCCTTAAACAATTCCCAATTAACATGCCCAATCTGGCTTCAATCATGTAAATAAACCAGAGTAATTAGTTTAGTTGTGGATAACAGTTCTTCTCGCCTATGATATTTGCATAACTGATTGCATGTTTGTCTTCAGCATCAAGCTGAGGCAGACATACATGCTGTAGATATTTTCATACTTCTAGTTCCCTGGACATAATTAATAGTCTGAGTTGATAACAGAGACCCAAGGGTGCTGATATTCTGCCATTAAATGCCCAGCATAATTTAGGTTGACATAAAACTCAGAACTACAGCTGGTCAAAATATTTGACAGAACAGTTTTCCATTGGAACACGCTGGATTTTGGTTTTTTGCTGTGTTTTTTTTTAAGGAGCAAAGTGTTTTGTGTCAGCTTCAACAACATTCAACAACAACAAAAAAGAAAAGAAAAAACCCCTTTCAATATAGTTTGTTTTGATAAGGTCTAACTGATGCAAAACAAACATTTCAACAAAACATTGACCAGTATCTCCCTATCAGGAGTGGTAATACATTATGCATGTTGTCATACGCCCCTTTTTGTTTTATATTAGCCAGACTGCCTTAAAAATATATTCCATGATGCAATGCCACCTGACCAAGCTTTATGTAGGCCCACTTTCTGGGGCCTCCTTTTTGACTGGATATATATTGCAGTTTACCACTAGGGCAAAATCTTAGTTAAAATGTTTTATTTTGAATGGTGTGAGGCCTTGAGCACATCTTGAGAAATGTAGTCTATGCCCATACCCCTCTACCAGAGAGACACCTTCATCTCTGCGGTGATATATTTTTATTCTGAGCATTTACCTAACCACTCTGCACTTCTCCCTTATATATACATGTCCTCACTGTCTCTCTCTCACCCACACTTCTCTTTCCAAAGTGCAGAACAGGATGCTGTGGACTCAATGATAGTTAAGAAATCATTTAACTGTACATCTAAATAGACAGATGCAGGTTAAAGCTTCTAAAAACAAAGAAAGGTTTTGGGTTTCTCAGTATCCAGCTTGAGAGATTGTAAACGAGCTTCATTTTCATGAAGTTTTGAACCTATGTCACTGGCAAATCAGGCCTCCTTAGTGAAAGAGGTTCAGTGGGAAGGTAGGATCTGCACTGACAGAAGTACTTTAGTACTGCACTGGCCCACCTGCATACAAAAGAAAGTTTTCTGCAATACTTACCTACACGGTGCTTGATTCCAGCCAGTGCTATCACTTACTCATTTGTCCACCCAACTGTTCTTCTCAACCTTATCACAAAAATACACCCCTCAATAAACAAGAACTGAGTTTAAAAAATACTTTACTAAGAAAACACACATGCCTTTGTCAAAATTAAAATGTCATTTGTTAATTTTCCAGATTAGAAGTATTTGGGGGGAAAATTCCAAAAACCCTTAGCCAGAAAATTAAAGACTTTGCTCTGTCACTTTAAGAGTAGCATACTTTTCCTCCAGTCTGTAGTAAGCACAGAACAGGACCAGAGGCAAATATTGTTCTGTACAATGTCATTGTATAGATATCCAGATTTCTATCACTGGCTTTCAAAATCGCTTGGAGGATATATTGTGTGATCCCCTTTGATCAATTCTCTTCTCTTGCACAGATGTGCTCACGCACTCACACACACTCCCATCTCTACCTACTTGGTTGGTGATGGTTGGAGTGACTCTTCATGGTGGCTATCAAGTGATGATTAATGCTGACCTCTGCACCTGTCACCTTATATTAGCCTTCTCCTTCTACAAGCCCAGCTGGGGCTCTCCAAAACCAAAGCTGCATTTCAGTTCAATCTATTGTGTTTCTGGCTTCTTGGTTTAATAGCCTCTTTAATCCTTTTACAGGAAGTTTGCTCCTGTTTCTTACCCTGACCAAAATGATCACAGTTGCTGTAAATATAAATATTAATAATCCATGTTGGGGTGGGGGGGAGTTTTATTTGTAAAGGGTGTTAAAGCAAGCAGGTAGTAATAGTTCTGACTTCTCTGTTTCCACAAAACCAGGAAATTCAATGGCAAGAACACAGAAGACCTGCTCTTTAACTCTCCATATATGACTGACAAAGTCAGAACCACTGCATCAAATTCACTTCCCTTGTACCTCAGCTATTATCACTACCACCCTCCCTGTTAGCCCATTTGCCACAAAAGCACTTTCATTCAACTTCTTAGGAATGAGATAGGTTCCCTACTCTAGAACTGCTAAATTTCCCGTATCTCTTTCAAATCCCTACTTTATACTCCCTTTTGCTGAGACACCAACAGAGCTCAGCTTGGTGGTGATGGCTAGGCAGATAACGAGCTATATGTACACAACTATTCTCCAAGAGAATATATTCACATTATGTTTATTGCCTATTCCTTCTCTTCCAGGTTGATCCATTGGTTTGTTTCATCTGCCTGCTCTTTCTCAAGATTAGCTGAGATTGTTAGGGCATGGATGCTTTTTTTCACTTCATGCTCATCCAAGTCTTGTCACAACAGTACCCAGATCCCAAAGCCAGACCCAGAGTAATACAAATCATTAATAAGCACCGTAATAACTGGGAGATAAATTAAGTCTTGGCATTGGCTTCAGCTGGAATTGTGCTTTATTCTTCCAGAGTTGAATTCAACCATCAAATGCAAGTACTAATGTAGGGGGGACCACAGCTCCCTTGCTCTACTGAAAGAAGAGAAACAGAGATCCCTTTCTTCCTTGCTGATGCAGAGACGACTCCCCTTTTTGTTCCAATTCACTTTAACTAGCCCTACTACTAAATCAGTTAGATGATCTTAGAGAGGTTGTTATAACTTCCAATTGCCGATACAGTCAAAAAATAGCGTATTTCTATATTATATAAATGGTCCCAAAAACAATTGCTTCATTATGATGCACTGACACTGGTTTAAGCAGCCCTCTC